GAAATCCGCAGCTGATGGTTTGTGCTGTTAGCACAGAAGGTCACTCTTGTCTTCCTCGCCTAGCGGGCCGCTCAGTGTGAGGAGTGGTCTTCCTAAGAGGGCTCGGCAGGAAGAGACAGGCGATCGGCAATCCGAATCACGCGCCCGAGATCGGTCTTAGCCTGGGGTGACGTTCTGTCCCTATCAATCAAAAAGAAAAACAAAACCTTTTTTTTTTTTTTTAATGGGAAACAACATGAGAATGAAGAAACGAGCAGAGCGCTCTCCAAACCCTTTGTGGCGTTGTTGTTGCTATTGAGAACACATTTCGTTCTCTCTTTCACCGAAGGGCCTTTGGCCTTGAATGAAAACATCGCGCAAAGTTAAAACAGATGCTAGAGCAGTCGGGAGTGCCTCTGGAAAAGGGGAAAACAAGAGAGGAATTTAATACAGGAAAATGACTCACAGCCCTAACAGCGCTTACCTCCACCACCTCAATCTAGGAGTTTCTCCATGGAACCAGACTGGGGCAACGTTTTCTTGTGTTTTTTTTTCTCCCTTCCATTCCACATTTTTAATATCTGAAATGAATGGGCACAGTAGCTTCAAGATTTGGTCTTAAACTGACCTGTACGTCAGACAAGCAGTGGATGTTTAGTGTTGCTAACCAGGACGGTTTTCGCAAGATACTCAGCAGAGAAGCCCAGTTATGCGAAGAGGATCTGTAGGGACTCAGGCTGGGGTCTCTGGGTTCAATTCCAGTCCAGAGGTGCTGTCTGTGTGGAGTTTGCATGTTCTCCCCCTTGCTGTCAGTGTGGAGTTTGCATGTTCTCCCCAAGCTCATATGGGTTCCCTCCAGGTGCTCCGGTTTCCTCCCACAATACAAAAACCTACAGGTAGGTTAGTTGGCCTCTTGAGGAAAATCGTCCCCAGTGTGAGTGTGTATGTTTGTGTCAGAGTCTGTGTGTGCCCTGCAATGGACTGGCGTCCTGTCCAGGGCGCACCTCTCCTCGCGCCCAGATAGGCTCCAGCCCCCCCGCAACCCTGAATAGGAAGAAGCCGTTAGAAAACAGATGTCACACAGCAGAGTGCTGAAGGGTTCCTCCTGGGCAATCAGTATCCGAAGGCTTAAACTGACCTGTAGGTTGGACAAGAAATGGACGCATAGTGTCGCTAACCAGAGTGGTCTTCACACATACTCCGCAGAGAAGCACAGTTATGAGCTGAGGATGGGTCGTGACCCTGGCTGACTAACCGACCACCGGGCACCCCAGAGGGGGGACAGGCTCAATCTGACGAGCAGGAAGAGTGCAGCCCTGTGCACACTGTTGGTCAAGGGCTGTTAGTGAAAAGCTCACCCGCTTTGACAGAATCACAGGATTCAGTTCAAATGTAGCGTACAGCGCTCTCGTCGCCCACAGTGTGAGGTTTCATTTATCTTTTCTGGACATCTTGCAAACGCATTCATATAAAAACAAGAGGCTGACCTGGCAGCCGAAACACAATAACACACAGCGTGTTTTGAAGATACTCTATACGCATGAAAAAGAGCGGAGTTGTGGTTTCATTTACAATTGGTTTAGCTTGTACTTCATTCGATTAAAACCTAACTGTCAGCAAAATCAAGAAGGCATGGAAAATCGCATTTAAAACCAGCTGAATGGATTGAAAAGCATGAGATTTTGGCTTTGTTCAAGAGGGCAGAATCAAAGGTATAAGTAGACCCGAAACAGTTCAGTTTCAAGAAAACCCCCTTTAACCTGTTGTCAGAGTGTCACTCCTTAATAAGGTCGCAAGAAAGTAATCACATTACCCCTGTGCTGGAGTCCTTGCATTGGTTTCCAGTCAGGTTTTGTGTTGATTTCGAAATCCTCATGCTCATCTTACATGCATTCATGCTCACGGGTACTCAATCTCTGTACCTCACCTCGCAATCTGTTTTGTCTGATTCGATTCTGGTCACTTGTCTGTACCCAAGCTCATTTACCCTCTATGGGTGACAGGCTCTTCTCCTGCTGCTGCACTCCATAGCTCAGGAATTATTTCCCCAGGGATATAAGACCTGCCCTGAACGCATTATTATTATTATCCGGGACGGAGTGGTGGCACTGTGGCTGGAAGGTTGCCAGTTCGTATCCCGCAGCCAGCAGAGGAATCCTACTCCGCTGGGCCCCTGAGCAAGGCCCTTAACCCCAGCTGCTCCAGGGGTGATGTATACATGGCTGACCCTGCACTCTGACCCCCAGCTTCTCTCCCTGTCTGTGTGTCTCATGGAGAGCAAGCTGGGGTGTGCGAAAAGACAAATTCCTAATGCAAGACATTGTATAGGGCCAATAAAGTGATCTCTTATTATTTTTATCATCATTTCTACATTGGTACCTTTCTCCGGGGTACTACGACCCCCAGTTGTAAACCGTGATGATTCTGATAGTTTGGAAATGGAAAAAAAAAGACAATCAGGCAAGGACAGTCTTAAGAATGATGAGTATTTATGTTGGGGATAAAAGAGCAGTACAAAAATACAAAAATAACTTGGTACATACAAATCTGACAGTGGTAAATGCGGTCCTATTTACAGCCAATAAAATAGTGGATATACTGCAAAATATAATCATACAATTTCAAAAATAAAAAGTTGTTTATAAACATGGGTATAGTGATAACAAAGTCGGTATCCTTAATCAGTTCAAGGTGGTTCTGTTTTATACATTACTACTATTGTTATATATTATACTTCCACAGTATAAGCAATTTAATTACAAAAGCATTGAGCGGATTTTACTTCAGACAAAAGATGACAGGATTGTCCAGGAAAAATAAAATACACCCCAGAAGATGTATTATTTTAACATCTAGGGGAATTAGAGGATTTCTTCCTCATGGATATCATGGGTTTGTGCCTTTGTCTACCTGAGCACTACAGAAAATTACTGTTTCTGGCAACCTTACGATAATGGTAGACTGTGAGAAATGAAGGCTATACTCAATTAGAAGCCCCAGTGTAAACTCTTAATGGTTTTAATATTAAAAATATCATTTTGCATGTGACTGTCTCCTGCAGGAGGGGTATTAGAAGAGAACTGTGATTGAAAAGCTGTAATGCAGTCTGTCCAGTCTGCAAGATCGAACTGAGGTTGAAGCATATTGAACAGTATCATGCTTAAACAAGGCCATGCAATGCAAGCTGACAATATGGTGCAGCTTTACATATGATATATACATATATGTGTATATTTACAGTATATATTAAAGGAGTGAAGGTCTTTTAAAATCATCCCTTTTAACAAATCCAGGATTATGTTTTATAAAAAAAACATATAAACAAAGGAGAAAAAATAATAAATATATCTCTGAAAGAAGAGAGTAGTTATTGTATACAGGAAAAACAAATATATAAATAAATCAGATTTTTTATACCATTTGCTCCAATAAATATCTGTGGCATTGAATATACAATATTCACATTCCAGCACGCCTTGTCTGTCGTGGTCTCTAGTGTGGCTGCAGGTTTCTGGGAAGGAACAACACTGCCTGAGACACAGACCAGGAAGTTTCAGAATGCAGTCATTGCATGAGTCATCGAAAGCAAGACTCATCTACTTTATGTGATCAGACCTGTGCTTTCGTTTTTAATCAAAGTTTGGCCATCCTGTATCCGCTTTTTAATCTTAAAGGTACCCTAAAGAAAGCTATTGATCCTCCCTCGATCAGGCTGCAAGAAGGAAGGTTGATTTTAACTGACTGTACGTACTGTATTGTATTGTTGTACTATTGTATCATTTCCTTACACTGTGCTGTGTTGACTGTGCCAGGCTGCTGTTGCACTGCACTTTCACTCATGGGATTAATTCGAGTATCTATCTAAAATTGGAAACTGGGCAGACTCCGGAGGCTGGATGACTGGGAGCAGAGGATGACTGCAAGAGTTAAAGATCTGCCTTCTCCCAGCTTGTTTCAAGCCCTCTGTCCCCTAAATAACAGCACCGTGAAGACTGCAGCTGGGTCGAAATGCGAGACGAAAGTGAGCACAAAGGCCTTTGGGCATCATGGTAGAGGCCCAGGGTGGAAGCAGGAGGGCCTGTCCTCTCCTGGGTGCAGCTCCAGGTCTTC